AAGTTTATTGAATTTCATCCTGTTTGTTTTTTCATCACAACAAAAATACAGAAACTTTATTTGATAGAAAAAACATACTTAACTTTTATGGATTTTTTTTCAAATTTGGTATAAATATAAGCCAGATTTCCAAAGTTATTCAACAAAAACTGCTAATTTTTGACCAAAATTTTGCACACAATTGAGTGGTTTTTGTTGAATAACTTTGCACATATGGTTTATATTTAGACCAAATTTGACACCTAATTGTAGGTTGTAAAGATCTACCAGTTTACCAAATTTGAAAACTCTGCAAAAAGTCATATGGATTAAAAATAGCTGATTTAGAGCAGCAAAACTATAGAGTGAAATCACTTGCAGATACATAAGTATTGGTTAGCTGTTTCTAGTTCAAGTTTTCAAAATAATCATATGGATGGATGGTTATTATTCATTGTCAATTTTTAAGCACAAATTTGCTAAATTTTATGAAATTCTCCTTATTAAAGAGCATTTAGCATCATGTGATATTGGCTTAGGTAATTAGCTTAAATAATGAGGCTTGATATGGCTGTACCAAATGCATGTGGGTGATGACAACAAACTGTCAATCTGTATTCCATGGCATTACTATAAAGGAAGTTAACACTGTTTTAGAAAAGAAAAACTACCACCATGTATTTTAAAGAATCTGGTTGGTTCTGTAAAGTATAGGTCTGTTCTGAATAACAAGGTTGCAATCCTAAAGCTAATGTGGGTTACTACTGAGTGCCACTTTCTTACTTGTTTGTTGGTGTGTATTGACAAAAAATCATGATATCTAATCAAAAACACATAAGATGTGAAAAAAAAGTGTGAGACTTAAAGGAATGTAAAATCAAAATTGGTGGCCAAACTGGTAGCTACATTTATAGCATTGATAAGAATTTTACAGCAAATATTCATTCATTAGTTATCTAGGCCGCGTATTTATCAAGGCTAATAAATCACCTCCCCCTTGTGTTCTCGAAGCCATGATTGTGATACACTCTATGGGAGAGTTCATGTAAGTGTGCTGCACGAGCTTATTTGCTGTCGACGGTGTCGCATTACAGAGTGACCACGTAAACAGCTAATGGCAGGAGCAGTCAATCATTGCTTTATGTTTGGCAGGTTTCTACTTCAGCTTTTAACTGTAAAATAAACACAGGAAATATACGTGAAAGTTTAGAAGTAGAAACTCTCAGGAGAAGTACTTTTTGAACCTTGTGATCAATATTAAAAAGATTAGAACAGGACTACTCACTTTATTTCACATTTTAGTTTTATGGTGGTTACAAGGTCAGCTGAATTGATCTCGTACAGTTAAGGTAGAGAATATAACAGATAAAATATAGTTTATGAAAAAAATTTTACACTTATTTAGGTGATTTAAGTGATAATGCAAATGAAATTAGAAAATCTTCTGAAGAAGGAAAATATTTTTAATTTTAACATGAAAATCAATTTTCGCTCAGAGCAGTCAACACTCCACATATTCATGGAGAAATGTTTACTAAAATACTTTAAAATTATATTTTATGTCTACAAAAAAAATGTAATGTTAAACTAAAAGTTTGGATAATTTCGTGAAGATACACAAAACATGTTAAAAGTTATAGTATGGAAACTGATGGTTACTTTGATGGTCACATGGTCAGTGTAAACCACTGAGGCAGTAGCGAAACGATTAAACAGAGGACTAAAACTTAGATTTGAAACCCTTTTATAGTAATTTCATACGAAATATAACAATCAAAAGAACCCATTACAATACATTAACATACAAATGAGACTTTAAATAATTGAAATACAAATAAATCTTTAAAAGATAAGTGTGATGTAAAAAGAAAACCCTTTACCAATAAGAGATACAAAATTAAAAAATAACCTTTAACAAAGATTGTAAGCATTACATATACACAAACACACACATATATATACATATGAAATACCCTTTAAGACAGAAAACAGGATAAAACATTAAAAAACATCATAGTACATCTCTCTTCGAGAAATTGGCCACAAACTATCTGTATTATGGTGAAAAACTTAGTAAACTGCAGACTTTTCACTTGGTCACAGGATGAGGCCAATCTCTCATCACTGCTATCTCAGCCAAGTCCATAGAAAACCTATCTCTTCTTACAATGTGACAGAGAAACTCTACTTAAATGCACATAACCGAAGACTTTTCATGTTTCAGTTTCAAGCCTGCTTTATTTATCCACAAGAATACCATTCGTAGTAGAATCTGTGACCAAACATTAAAGCACTATTAAGTAGACAAGGCATCACTCCTATTTCAGTCCTTTCATTGTAAGTTCCATCAGCATCTCAAACATAATATATCATTTGATAGATCAAAACTTTGCCTCTCTATTGGTTATAAATAATCATATGTGCAGCAGTACTTATAACAGGAATGAGCCAGATGTGCAATACAAATTAAAATCTCAAATATACTGCAAACAGCATGTAAACAAAACTTTATAATCACTTTACACACACTGTTGAGTAGTAAACAAACTAACTGCAGAGTGAAAAACCACAAAAGCACTTGAGAAAGTCGGTAGAGTAAAAACAAAAATTTCACAAAACCACAAAATTTTCAATCTGACTAACTGACTAATGTTGTTGGAAAGGCATGGCTCTCTCCTGCCTTCACTATATGTAAATCTAAATGCACATGATTGAAATATGCTACCTTGGTTAAAAGCGTTTTTCTTAAAACCTTGGTAATAAAATAACCATTTGCAACACTACTAATGACCCAACGATAATCTAGTAGCCATATTCTATGATTACGAGCATGCTCTGTGAGTTGCCAAGTAACAGGCCACTCTGATATCACCTGCTTCTGAAGGATTGCTTATGTGCACACACTATGTGATCAGCCTGTAGCTGTATCAGGTGTGCGTGTGTGTGTGTATATATATATATATAAAAGGGGGAACTACAGAGATTTTTTAGATCTAGGTTCTAACAATCATCTAACCTTTGGAAGCAACGTTTTCAGTTCTATACATCTGACTTGAGGGTTCTGTGATGATCAAAGCAATTCTATCATAGAAGTCAGTGCCTAAAACATGTCTCCCCCTATGTGAGGACGAACGCTACCTCAGGCAAAGTCTTACACGACTTTGCTCGAGCACTCTTGACTTAAAATAAGAACGATAAGTTGTATAACTTATCTTTGCATTGTTTTTAAACTAAGTGTGCTCATTGACATCTAAGGTTGTACTTGAAACATGTATTTTAAAATATGCTTTTCAAGGAAACAAAACAAGAGAAAATGAGAAAATATTACATTGATAACCTTGAAGAGAGCATTACTGCAATAACAGAAATAAAGTTAGAAACAAGCCTTAGCCATTAATCCAGCCACAAAAAAGGCTGCCACCCTGGCTAGATGGAAGAAAACTTTAGCAAAAATATAAGCAAAAGCCAGGAAATGTCGAGATATAGTTCTAACAAAAGCTACAAGAAGGGTAAGCCTAGAACCCAGTCACTCTCAAGATTTAGTACCAAAAGAAGCTATGAGTCAAACGTAAAACTTTTTAAGTGAAAAAAAAATTAGGAAGTAGGAATGGGAGCACCAAAAAAGTAAGGAAACAAGGTAGAAATGCACAGGAATGGTTTTTTAACACAGTGCAACTTCAAAGTGGGTGTGACCACTTTGAACTTATATTGACTTGAATTGAGTTTTATCAGTTGCTAATCCTTTCTAAATACTTCACAAAATAAAAAAATTAAGCAGTTTTAGTACTATTCTGTTCACCCACCTCTTATTACCAGTCAGATAGCTATAATTTCTTCTATAAGCAAAGTATGACAATTGTAGCTCACTTTCTCACCTCCTACATCAAACACCCCCCTTAAGATGTCATGCATTTCGTTAGGATCACGCAATTTGATTACATACATGTATCTGTACTTTGTTGCTGAAACAAAGTTTACAACAGAGAAATTTAACTATATACATCTTTCAATTAGCTTGAACAGTTACCAAGTAGGAGAACTTTTGGCAGTTTGTGAAAGAAAGAATGTGATAGGTGGCATGGCAAGTGGATCTGATTTTTCCAGTTTAAAACTCCATGAACATATAAGATTGAGGGCTACAAAAATTACACTTTGTCTTGGTACTTTCAATATTATAATGAGTAATTTATGTTAAGTTCTGTACTTCAGAGAGGGGAGGTATAAAAATTAGAGATGACCTAGAGAACAACTGTCACGATTCTTATACTAAGGGAGATTGAGGATTTTAGACATTTCACTATAAAATTAAGAACTTAAAATTTGTGTAATATTAAAATTTGATTTAGTAACTATGTTTTGATGCCGAGTTTATTCTTGTACATTAATAATAATGCATTTTAATTTCATTTTGAATGTAACCCTGTAAAAAATCGTGACATGCTCACCTTAACCTACCCACATTTAGACTGTTAATGCTCTCTTTCTGGACAGGAAAGTATATTTCATGTGATGCTTCTTTAACCATGGTAATGATGCACTAGATTTCACCAGTAATAAACCATAGAATACCACCAGTGTATATGGAGGTGGTTATTCCCTCTGTTATATACATTTGTGCAGTCAAATGACCTGCATCATAAAACTTTCCTCTGAAATATCAACTCGTCTATTGCACATGAAAGTGATCGTTAATTCTAGCAGTACTCCATTATGAGGATACCAATACCAGATCTGAGACAACTATCATCATTTTGTGAGTGACATTTCCTAGATAAAGTCAAATATTTACTTTTCATATAATATATAGTCTATTGCAAGAACAAGGTCAGTATAACTGGCTGGAATAATGGTCTTACTTGGATAGCTTGATATATATTGTGAGGTTTAGCAGTATTCTGACTGTTACTGTGTAATTCAAACTCTCACTCTTGTATCCCAACAAAGTAAGTAACAAGCTCCACCCAGCTCTGAAAAAGCTGGGCACACCACTGAACACCTTGGTGCAAACAGTCCACTGTACTCCTCCAAGCCAGTGGCCAGGCCAGTCTTAGGCTTTATTAGTTTTCTGGAGCTGCAGATACAGCTCCTACTGGTTGTTGTTAGTTATCCTGTACCTACTGATCCATCATATGGTATCAATAACCTTACCTAATTTGCTTGGCAAAGAGCAGAAAGTTCATCTGCCTGTGTCCCACCAGTCCTAAAGTGAAGAAGACACTTTGCTCTTCCTGAGCTGGATGATGTCCAGTCGAAAGTATCATCAAAACCCTCGCTTTAGTGTTACGAGATGTTCTAATAACGTTCAATGAAAGAATGGTTCAAAATTAACATTACAAAAGATGTTTGAATGTGTAATTCGTTTTCCTAAACTTGAATACGTATATACATACTATGCAAACTCAAAAATTATTTTTGAGTGGGATAATTCATGCTAATTTTTTTCAGTGTTATGATGCTAATTGTTCACTTTGCCTCTGGGTGTTCAAAGTCATTTTAAGGCTCCCCATACAGTGAACACCTCTGCAGCATGTATTTTTTCATTTTGGCATACTTTAGGGTTTAGATCATTTTATTCCCACTGATTCACAAGAAACTAAGTGATGAAGTAAGATTTAACAAATGTTAGTAAAGTCAATTTATATGTTGAACTTCAACAACTGTGATGTTTGATTTCTTGTACGAATAATCTATATATATTACTAATGCTACAAAATAAAACTAATAATTAATCTCAGTGCAAATGTTTCCATTTTATTTAATGGCTTTTTTTATTGCAAAGAAATTGGATCCTAACGTTTGAATTTTGTATGCACTGCAACATTAATGCTTTCACTGTAGACAGATAAAATACTTGGGTATTGCGGTTATGATTAACTGAACAAACACTGCAACGTGAGTAATAAAATGCTCATTCCCTATTGAAATAAGGTGCATCTGTCGCTAAATTCGAACACCAACTAATAACAAGTGTGAATTGTGTTTATGAAACACCTACGCCCCCACTAATGTACTGTATGTTTAGGTCCCCACTCCCAATTTCATAATGTAGTTCCTGTCCATAAGATTAGGGTGGATTTTCTATGTATCAGTAATCGCTTGACACATGGCCTTCAAAAATTAATAAGATCTACAACATTGTATGCAGTGCCCGTTGTGTAAGTTTAGTCAATATCCATTCAACCTCTATTGAAATATCATGTCCATAAGATTGGGGAAGATTTCTATGTACCAGTATCTTTAAAAGTTAATTGGGTATAGAACTTTGTATTTAATATCTCTTGTATAATTTTGTCAAAATCCATCCATCTAATCATAAGGTATAATAGGTTCACAAGATTAGGACGGGCGGACAGACTCATACCAATATGTCCTGCCATGCGATACTTCCCAATGGGGGCATAAAAAACCATACTACTTATTGAAACCAGCAAAAGAAACATTATTATGAAAGTAACCATAAAATTTCATGTAATATTTTCATTCTCATTGCCATTTCCAGAAAACTCACCTGCATATGAATATCTTATTAGAAAATACAACAGTTGTGATAAGGCAAAAACTGAGGTACTGACCAAAGGACGAGTTACTGATGGAGATGTCAGAGAACAAAGCAACTCCATCACAGGATGAGAAGCTGTGGTTTGCTGCAGAGGAAAGAAAAGAGCATTGGCTATTGGAGAAGAATTATGTTCAAAAACAAATGTAGAACCTAATTCAGAGTTAGCCTGAGGGGGAAAGAGAGAGATGGGGTCAAACTAGGAGCAACTTCTGAAAAACTGTGTAAAAAAAATAGTATACTGCAATTTACAGTGAATTTATGATAAAAAAGAGTATACAATTTTTTTTCCATGTTGAATATTATGTAAACCAATCTTTTAATTTTGTTGTTCATTCTGGATACAGCTTCTGTTAAAAATTCATTTCTGTTATGTCCTGTAAAACCAGAAATTGAATAACGATTATAATCTGAATCAAACTTTTAATATTTTAAAACAATTCTTAAACAATAAAAATTAAACTATAACAAAATTATCCCCTGTATGTAATATATATTGTTGGATTTATCAATGACCCTCACGAACCTTCAGCTGGTGCATCAGTAATGGAAACTCACACACTAAATATCAATGATATCACATCAGCACAATAATTCAAGACTTTGTTCACATTCAGGCAAATCAGTGGCAATCTGATGCAATTCATGGTATCACTTCAAAGGAAACCCTCTCTACTGGTAACTAATAATCTATTGTTTATGGGGGCATAAAATCATGAGACAGACAAACTGTAATATACTGTGAATGTACACAAGTGACATTTTCTTGCATAAAGTTGAGAAAATGGCAAGATATGTGTTCAATGGATAGCCAACACTGAATAATGCAAATGGTGACTATTATATGAAGTTTTATCGCAGGCAGTTTATTTTAACTTATGGATGGCATTTTTGTACTAAATTTGTTGTTAATGGTTGGTTGCTATGGTAAGACATGGATTCTAATGTGATAGCAGGCATTTTCTGAAAATGGGATTCATCAAAAACATATTTATACAAGCTTCTGATGATCTAATAAGCAAAGACTACATTTTACAGTAGTATATATTTTTTCATGTGAAACCATCAAGCCTATGTAAAACCATCAGTAGAATCTGTTAAAACACTAAATATAAATGAGAAATGTAGGTAAGAATTGTTTTTTTTCAAATGTGGCAAAATTTATTTTCTGTCTGATTACCACAAATGTATATTTTAATTTCTTTTTATCTTCAGTATTTACTTAGTATGCTATACAAATTTGAATGACACTAAATTGAAATAGGTTTATTGTTTAAATAATAAATAAACAACATTAAAATCAATACACAATTAAATTGTATGAGGAATTGCGTGAGAAGAAAGGTGAAAGCTCAACAGCAGGGATTTTTACTTTAATAAAGGTTGATTTGGCTATTTTAGGCAAAAAAAAATCTACATAACATCAAAATAACAGGCAAGGCTGCTAGTGCCAATCACCAAGCTGCTTTGGAATTTCCAGATAAGTTAAAGGAGATCACAGAAAGTGACAGATATCCCCTGAATTATTTTTCAATACAGATGAAACGGGGCTATTTTGGAAATGGATGCCATCCTGTATGTTTATTTCTGGGGAGGAGAAGATTGCTCCAGAACTTAAGGCCACAAAAGATTGGCTTACCCTGTAACTTGATGGTAATGCAGCAGGAGACTTCAAACTGAAACCAATGCTGGTGTACATTCAGAAACACAACAAGCTAAGAAAGGATTCTCAAAGCCACACCTACCAGTTTTTTGGTGTTCCAATTGCAAAATTCAGGTGACAACTGATGCTTTTCAAGATTGGTTAGTCTCCTACTTTTGCCCAGCAGTGGAGAAACACTGCATTGAAAAAAAAACTAGGAAAATGGCCTTCTCCTAGATAATGCTCTGGGTCACCTTTCTCATTTGGACAATTTGGCAACTTGCATTCCGGTCCAGAACCAGTTTTTGCCTCCAAACACAATATCGCTCATTCAGCCAATGGATCAGGGGTCATAGCAAAGTTTAAGGTGTATTATCTACATTGTATCTTTCATCAGCTATTTTATGAGATATCTACTAATGAGAACCTTGCAAACAGGGATTTCTGGCATTCATATAGTATCATGAAGGAATTAACAACATTGACCATGCCTGGAGGAAGAAATGGCCAGAATGCTTTTATGACTTTGAGGATTTCAAAGAAGAAATACCAGCAGTCCATGAAGAAATTGTCAAACTTGCCCATAATTCAGGACTGGAGGGAGTGGAAGATGAAGACGTAGAGGAGTTGCTTCAATAGCATGGACAAGGTCTGTCCAATGAAGACTTAAAAGAATTAGATCAGCAACAATTTATGGAAGATGCAGCAGAAGACAAGCAACCAGAGGAGGTAAAACAAGTTGTTGAGTTGACATGCAAGAACATGTCATAGGCTTTTTGCAAAATTAATGGTTTTGCAATCTGGGCCAAGAATGACCCTAACTGCAAGCAGAGCAATACCTTAAGGAGGCAAGTTGAGGCAGCTCTATCAGGCTACCAGGAATTTTATAGAGAGAAAAAGAAGCAGGCAAGACACAAATAACTCAGTTTTTTAAGAAGAAGAGGAAGTAGATGATCCAGTTCCACCTTCTCCCCAATAAACCACTGCCAGCTCAACTTTTCAATATTGTACTATGGTACATATTCTTTAATTGTTATTATTGTATTATACTTTGTTGTATAATTTGCCTTTTGTCATATTTACTATACTAAATAATGCTGCTGGAACAAAACTACAACTTATACCACTATAACAATGGAGAATTGGACCCCCAATAATGTCATTTCCAATAACAATACACTTCTTAAGAACATAACTAGGATGTGAATGGGGGGAGTCAACTGTACATCTTGACGGATAATCTTTGCTGCTATTGCTAGCATTAACATTTCAGAATCAAAATCCTGCAAAAATGCTGCTCCAATGCCTTGATCAAATTGCTTGTAGGACCTTTCTGCCTTCATTGTGGGCTCTTAAGTCTGGAATTGCTGCCGATATTCAATTCTTTACCCTTGTGGTGTGCACCTGTACTGCCTGGACACCAAGTTCCTGTAACCTTGAAGAGTATAGTCTCCTTAGATCTGCCATACTGAATACCACTTTTGCTTTTGTTGAATCTCAAAATTTTTCAATGTGTGAAACTAGCTCAGCAAAGGCTATACCATGTAGAGAACTTTCACTTGAATTAGGTGCTGTATGTCTGCCTATCTGTTGTGCACATTTGTATAGCTTAGCGAAACATAATGTGTTGTATTGGGCATCGATTGCCACCCTATCACCATCTGCAAGTTTTGCCAATAATTTGTGTCATTGAGTTCTTTTGCACACTTCCATACTTAAAAATCAATATCGACTGTTGATGCCTCATGAAGGCCAGTAGAACCAGCTACATCACAAAAGATACACAAATCTGTCTGTTCTTTCTGCTTAATTTCTGAACTGGATACTCTGGTTTTTACAGGACTTGACTCCTTTGATTCCTCATACTTTCTCTTGCATGCCCTTTCAAGATTAAAACTTAGATTAGAGCAAGCACACCACATGCCTGGATGTTTATTGTTTCACACAGTCCAAGCTACTGCATAATATACTAACCAAACCTCAAATAAAAAATAATGATTTTTCAGTTAAAAGTACTAAGAAACTTCAACTATATTATTCAAGATATTCAATTGCTCTGTTTATTATAATCTATTCTTTCTAGTTTCTTCAAGTAATACAATTCCACCTTATAAGAAGTATATGTACAAAATCTCAAACATTACAATAAAAAGTTACACTTGTTATTCTCATTGCCACCAGGGGCATTGATGACTGGGTTCCATATCCAAAAATATTCAGTATGGGTCAATCTATAAATGTGCCACCTTTCACACCTTCAACCCAAAGTGCATGATTTTTTTGCTATAACCCCCCCCAATATAAGAAAATTTATAGAAGACACAGTCTCAATGATGTTTCATACCATACAACAATAACAGATTATGTTGGTTTTAAATATTTTGAAGACTGATGTAACTGGATTGCTCATGTATTAATGTGTTTAAGATATAGTTTGAAAAACACATTTGTGTGGTTTGAAATTGTATTTCTTTTTATTGATATTGAGTTTAGGAATCACACAAATTAGTCTATTTATATATATAAAAAAAATGAAACTTCTTCTAAAAGATTTTTTTTTTCATTTAGAATTTGAAATAGAGGTAATTCTTTTCTACTTACAAGTGCATTTGGTACTCCATGCCAATGAAGAACGGGAGAGGACTGTGTTCACTATTTTTTTCATAATTTTGTCCTAAAATTAAAATAATTGAATTGTCATTGTGAAAAGCAAATAAGCCAACTCTTCCATTCAGATATAAACTCACATTCTGTAAGGGTAAGGCTTTTTTTTTCTGTGCAAATGAAAAACATACATGGACCAGAAATTTATACAGAACTAAGAATAAATTAATGACAAGAGAGCAATTTATTTCGTTAATAGCAATTACATAAGGGAAGATGCTTACATTAAAAATGGATAATTTATAACATATACAATTTAAGTAAATTAATATTTTTAACATTTTATAAGATTCAGAGCAATGAAATAACACTGTTTCTTCAAAAAATTAATTAAAGATGATTCGTAGTTTAAACCCTTAGTTCTGTATTTTGTAGAAAAATAGTATATCTCTTAAACATAATATATATTTTTGATATACTCTTGTTAAAGCATAATTTTCCATATCAAACCAAAATGCAAGAAATAAACAAGGAATGATTTCAACAAATAAGCAAAAAAAAAAAAAAAAAAACTAGGTAACACTAGGATAAGAAAATATTTTTTACTTTTCTTTACTTTAGAAAAAATTACTAATTAGTTTCTGTAGTAATTTAGTACA